AAATGTCTTCTTTGATATAAAGAGAGCAACTAAGAACAGAACAGGGAGGAAGAGCATGAGGAAAAGATTAACATTAAACAAAGACGAGTGGGGGGGAGAGAAAGGGAGAGAGAAGGGAAAGCATATGGAAATGGTAGGAGACCCTCAATGTTACACAAAATTACATAGAAGAGGATGTGAGGGGACGGGGAGGGGAAAGAAGGGAGAGAATTGAACAACAGCAGATGGGGTAGAGAGAGAAGATGGGAGTGGAGGGGAGGGGGGATAGTAGAGGATAGGAAAGGTAGCAGAATACAACAGTCACTAATATGCCATTATGTAAAAATGTGGATGTGTAACTGATGTGATTATGCAATCTGTATTTGGGGTAAAAATGGGGGTTCATAATCCAATTGAGTCAAATGTATGAAAGATGATATGTCATGAGCTTTGTAATGTTTTGAACAACCAATAAAAAAATTAAAGAAAAAAAAAGAAACTGGCTTTGAAATTGGGATCCTCCTGTCTCAGCCTCCTGAGATGCTTGGAAGTACCCTCACTTTGAAGGCTGAATGTCTGGTAAAATCTCCATTGATGTTGAACAAAATTAACATTAAAAACCAATGTCAAGGAAAGAAAAAATTTATTTCCTCAGCTATATCATTGGATTTTTAAATTTTTAATTAAGCAGTTTTAAATTTTTAATCATCAAGTATAATGAAGTATAATTACAGTAAAACATGCCTATTTAAGTATACAGTTCTGTAAGTTATCACATGTGTATACTTGTTAAACTATTGTCCCAATCAAGATAGAAAAAATCTATCACTCAGGGTTTTTTTGTTGTTGTTGTTGTTGTTGTTTATATTTATTTATCTATTTATTTTTCTTATCCCTTTGGTGTTTTTTTTTCCTTTGTCCCTGCTTGAGGCAAATATTGCTTGGGTTTTATCCATGTGAATTCATTTTGCCTCATGGAACCATTACATGAATTCTTTTATGGCTGGTTTTCTCTTTTCAGCTCAATATTTTTGAAATTTATAAGATACTATGAATATTTTTATTCTTCTTACTGAGTTGTATTTCCTTTATAAATATAGAATTTATAAATATATCTGTTGGATTTTTTTTCAGTTTTTGGATTCTATGAACATTAATGTGCAGAAAGATACAGATGTCTTGTGGACATATGAATTCACTTTGCTTGAACAAATACTTAAGCAGCAGAACTGTTAGTCTTTTGATAAGTACATGTTTGTAAGGAAATATCAAGACATTTTCCTAAGTTATTTTGTGTGTGTGTGTGTGTGTGTATGTGCACATGCTTGCACGTGTGTATACACACACAGTCAGTATGTATGCCCTCCTAGTCTGTGATATATCTTTTCATTTTATTAATAATGTATTAAATGACAAAAGTTTTGATAAATACAATTAAGCAACCTTTTATTTCATAAATATTTGAAATTCTGTCAGGAAGTTTTTGCCAACCCTAGGTCAGAAAGATCTCATCCTATAATTTTTTTCTACTTGCTGTTCAGTTTTATTTTTTTTATGTTTGGGTGTTTGCCTGATCTGTAGCTAATTATTGTTTATGGTATGAAGTAAGGGGTAATTTAACATTTTTGTAACTATATCTAATGTTTCAGCCACATTTGTTGAAAACATTATCTTTCCCTCATTTATATTAGAATGTGTGCATATACACACACGCAGTATATATATTCTCTGAATATTTATTATATGTATATCTAATATTTATATTCTGTGCCTCTGATTTGGACTTTTTGTGAATATAACAACGTTAGAGTGATTTCAAACAAATAAACTATTTTGAACATATCAGAAAACATAATGGTTCTGTGGCTTCATTTTAAAAGATAGGGTAAAACACTTTGAACCTGCAGAAACCTAAAAGTTATGCTTAATGGATTTATGACTCAATCATGAGAATTTGAAAGTTGATCTGGTATTTGAGAATACAAAAAATTTCTGATAATTTTTGGTGTGACAGTGGCATTATGATTATGGAAGACCACATGCAGAGGGGTAGGGTGGAAGGAGGTGAGGGAAGAAGAGAAATGGATCTTTTCAGAATAATGTTGAACCTCTGTCATGGCAGTCATTGAAGATTAATAGCCATGTGTTTGCACAACTCATGGCCATGGGCCTTGGGAAGAGCCACAAGACCCACAAAATTTCATCACATTGAGGTACAGCTGCTGCTGCAGTCATCTCACCCAGCTCACCATATTTGGGTGGGATGAGACTGGAGAGGTGTGTGGCTTGTCCAGAGCAAATGGTACACATGAAACTATTAAAGACTCCAAGGATATATGGGACCTCATATTCATGAAGAATTAATTGGTGTTTGCCCTTAATCCCTACAGACCATGAGCACAGGAGGCTGAGGAAGAAGGATTAGAAGTTGAAAGCCAGCCTCAGCAACTTAGTGAGGCCCTAAGCAAATTAAAAGAAAAACCTCTCTTTCTCTAAATAAAAATTTAAAGTGTTAGGAATGTGACTCAGTGGTTAAACACTCTTAGGTACATGCTTTGGAAACCCTCCCATAAAAAGGGAAGAAAAGTGAAGGGACAAGCATCTGAACCAAAGAGCATGTTCCCATGGAGATCAGCTAACTAAAGGGCATCTGGTTGGAGAATGGGATACATTTGTGTTTAGTGAAACTGCACAAATGCGGCTTCCATGGTGTGAAGAAAAAGACCCAGAAACGGAGGGGTTTTGAGAACCCATAGAAATCATGGGACACAAGCAGCCAAAGCAAAGCAGCCCTGGAACACAAGGGACAGGGTTGCTGTGGCTCCCCTTGAAAGGCCAGCATCCTCTGCCCTGGTGCTGTCTTCCACCTGGTAGTAGTCCAGAGGATTGACCCACAGGTCCTCGATGATGACCTACAAAGGGAAAACAGACAAGTCTGTTCCCCGCAGCATGGGGACTCACCAAGTCACTGGTTTTGTGGCCTATGGATCCCCACCTCAGCAATCCTGTTAGAGTCAGCACACTTGTGCCCTGACAACCAGCTGAAGAAGGTCAGCCTGCTGGAGTCCTGCAAGGGGCTGTGCACCAGTGCCTCCCCATCCACAAGCCACTGCAGCACACTGGAACAGGATGCCTCATACCCTGGAGGAGTTGGAACAGTTCAGCACACATCCGATTCTGTCCAGCCAGCACACTGATATGAAAGACCCCAGTGTCTGGGAGTCCTTTACTTTACCAGTGATGTTCAGCTGATACTCCTTCACGACCACTTCATTCTGGAAGTAGGGGTTTTCTTGAAAGGAGAACTTGATCCTGTAGAGGGACTTGGGATACCTGAGTTCCTCCACCTGCCAGGCCTCAGGCAAAGACAAGGGATGGTGTGGTTGGGTGGCTGTGCAGAGCGAGTCTGTGAGCTAGCTTGCATGGGCTGCCCTCCCAGCTTTCCTTCTCGGGCCTCCCCACACCCTATCCCCAGTCTCACTACCCAGTTCACCTCTAAATTCCTCAAATAGCTTAGCAGGTCTTTATCTGCCCAACTGAGGATGACGGAAACCTGGGGGTGGTACATCATCTGCCAGGCGTCAAGGACATATGTGGTGCCATGGAAGGAGCAGGCAATAGCACAGGGGGCCCACCAGGGAAGCAAGGGGTGTGTGGGACAGGGGATCCCTACACAACACAGCACTGTGCCCTTCCCTGCCAGCAAGATACCCTGGCTTATCCACTCTCATCCTCTGCCCTGCCCAGGTCTCCAGGCCTGCCTGGTGTGTAAGAACCTGATGGCACCATCTGCTCTGTCCCCAGGGTAACTGACATCACCCTGGCCGCCTTGGGATGGACAGAGATTACTGACGTTTGGGCATGCTGTCCATCGCTAGGTGTTCATAGCCTTACTGAACTTGGGTATGCGTGTCCTGTGTCACCATATCTGTGTGTTTGTATGGGGGTGGGGGCCTGGGGGATTGCGTCTCACTTCAGGCTGCGAACACCATCAGTGAACTGATAAGATGCAATTTTCCAGCCTACCCTTGGATAGGAGCCTGCCCACATTGAATGTCACAGGTTGGCAAGATTGCATGTTTAGAGTGACCTTGGAAGTGGGCATGGAACTGGACAAGGTGCCCTGTCAATGTGCTCTTCTCTCCATTCCTGGTGGGCTGCAGCTGTGGCTCCCAGCCTCCAACAATATTCAAGCCCTGCTGTTTGGGCTCCCTTGCCATCCAAAGTGTCTGCTCTTAATTCTCAGGGAGACTTTGTCAGAACCTGACTTAAGCTTAGGGACCCAGGGTGAATGCCACTACTTCCCCTACTCCCATTTTTCCCAACCCAGCTCCTCAGGGTCCTCTAAAGCCAATCCAATGTGTTGGGGCCTCAGCTTGGTGGCACACAGCAAAGGATACCACTTTGGCCCAGAAGCCAGGGATGCGCTGGATGACGGCCCTTCTGCGATCCAAGTGTGATTTGCACCTCATTTCCACCTTCCTCTTCAGCCTTGCACAGGCCCGGCTGGCTCGG